TAAAAAAAAAAAATCCCCCCCCCCCAAAAAAAAAAAACAAAAAAACAAAAAAAACCTGAAACTTTTAAAGGATTTCACTTGGTCTAGATGAAACCAGAGACCTGCATTTAAGAGTTTGGCATATCCGCCTTACTGAGTGCAATAGCCAATTCAAGATCTTCCTGTTCTTGTCTTCGTAATCGAGCTAGCCTCTCCTGCTCCGCTTTCTCACTCTCTCGCTTTGCCCATGCCAGCTGTTGCTCCTCATTTCCAAACTAAAAAAAAATTTAAAAAAATGGAAACATGGTTAATATATACAAGACATTCGCCCATGGCCAGCAGAAGTTATATGCAACATGCTGTAAATTTAATTAATTTAAAATAACCACCACCAAACAAGACAAAATAGGTTACAACTTCTGGATTGGGAAACATACGCCCACATACAGTCAAACACCCACTAGTTTCCCCACTCCATTCTGTGATTCGTTTACTGAGTTCAGCACCCTCACCTATCAGAAATATAAACCTTCCAGTTGATGATGATCTGCCTGCATCCAGATCTCAATTATACACAAGACAGAGGCCAAAAGATTGTGTGGATGGAGAGCTCCATGGACATGAAAAAGTATACTTGGAAGTTGACGGCCTACAGCCATGTGAACAATGATTCTGTTAGCTTTTAGCTGGTAAAAAAATGGAAGCAGTTTACTGATGTGCCACTACACTGCAAAGTGTCTGCTGCAACAGTTCCTCTAAATGGTGACACATGCTAACAATGAACCCGGAGACTGAAGATTTGCGGACAGTTACACCATCACATTGAAAGTAAAATGCCGATTTTGCAATTGTCTCAAAAATAAGTGAAGATTTTTTTTTTCAGGCAGCAGAATAGCAAAAACCTATTCAGATCACTTTTGCAACAAATACTAAAGAAATAAATTCATTTTGGTATCCTACTCAAACTTCTTCACGCTTATCAGAGAATTAATTTAAGTTAATGGAAACAAAGTTCAGAGTTATGCCATAATAATCAGCCTCTGTAGTTCACTTTAAAATGGGCAAAATCTGGTTGCTTTATTTTTTGCACAAAAAGTTAGAGATATTACTGGCAATTAAAATAGCATTTAATTTTAACTTCTGATAAAATAAATGATTTGTGTTGCTATTTAATCTTGAAGGTCCCCTGTTCAGCTAACAAACAAAGTTGCAGAATTATATGTAAGCATTTGCAAGATTTATCCCTAATGGCTTTATTTCCACTCTTTAAACATCAATTTGACAGTTTATGGAATCTTTAGAAAATGTATTATTTGGGCTTTTAGAATGGAAGACTATATACAAAATTACAAATTCTATTTTTGGTGGAATAAAATCTGTATAAAACTATGAATATCACCTCTCCAGTTCATGACAGAAAATAAGGCATAATATATTGCTGAACTGATTTATTTCTTTGAACCATCCCTTACAAACTTTGTCTCTCTTGTCTAAATAGACTGCTTCAGAAAAGAAATGTATTAAATTTTAAGTAATATTGCAGCTATATAGTTTACTATCACATTCTAGATTCCCCAGAATTCATATCTCTATATTTTAAATAAATGTTGTCAACTTGCATTTTTGGCTAATTAGTTTTGATAAATATGCCAAATTCTCTATTATTCCTAACTGCATTTTAGAGTGGGCTCTTTCCTTCTTTTATATACTGCATACTGTCATGGCTAAAAAGCTATTACTGCAACTGTTTCTTTCATGACAGTGTACTGCATCCTAGTAACTTTTTAAACCAAGAAATTCTGCTGCCATTCCTACTGCAAATTATTTAAATTAATACTTGATATATATCATGCGAGTTTCCCTGGGGACAAGTAGCAGCAGCACATAGTTGTGCCATTGCTACTTGTCCCCACAGAAGACCCTTGCACATGCACTCTGGCACGCAAGTTGCCCCACGTGGGGTAGAGGAGGCTAGGGCCAGCACCTGGGCTGGCCCCAGCAGACTTACCCAGGGTCCTGCGACCTCCCGGGGCTCAAGCAGCAGTTACCTGGGTGCGCAGAGCCTGGTCGGCAGCTGGAGTGTGGCTCTGGCCGGCCAGGCTTCAGTTTTGGGCAGCACGTGCTGCCACCATGCGCGCTGTGCCACATTTTTTGATACCAGGATATCCCAGTATCAAAAAACCTGCCATACTGCTAATTAGCAGTGCGGCGATTGCTTGCATGTGCAGTGCACACGGTTTGCGGCACCACAGACGGGTCTGAAGCACTGCAAGCCGCATATATGCACTTGTCTGGACACACCCAGTGGAGACAGGGTTTCAGTCTCTAAACATTCAAAATAAAGCCTGGTGCTGGGATGTAGAGTGCAATTTTAGAGATGTAACAAATTTCAACTCATTACTTCTAATGTCTTATACTTTTTAAACTGTTGAGAAAATAGGTTTTTTAATATTTTCTTTAGTTTGTAAAAGATGCACATTTTAAAAAACTTGCTTCAAGAAGCTTATTTATTCCTTATGTATCTGAAAGTATATTGTGCAGTTAGAAAAGCCAACTGAGAGTATATGAAGGCAGTTCACAGCAAAGTTTTCTATCAGAGAACCCCTCTTTTGGTGTTTGATCAATATTATCTTACAGTACAAGCAGGAATATATGACTCCAGAAGCATGATTCTTGACGTATGTACCGGGTGAATATATAATTTACCAATTATATCTTGTCATCAGTCCTTGTGCAAATTGTCTAGAAAAGAACATTTTACTGAGCTACAGAAGAGAAAAAAAAAA